AATCCTCCGTCGCCTTCACCTGCCCCCAAATCCTCCGTCGACTCCATATATCCCCTCAGCTGCGCTTCAACTCATAATATTTAACTTCTCTTTTTAATTGCATTGAGATCGCGATGGCCAACGTAGACGACAGCTGGGTGGTGGACATCGAAAGCGAGCTCAACGGCGCCGACCTCATCGGAGCGATGGAGGTCCACAAGCGCCGGGCCCTCGTCCACTTCCTAAGGAGAGCTCAGAAGCCCTTGCGAGGCTTCATGAGCGCGCTCGAGGAGGTCGCGGGTGAGCTTATGGATTCCTATCAGGGTCTCGACGGGAGGTGGAGGGAGGAGAGGGGCCGGGAGTTGTTCTTGAGGCTGATGCTCTTCGACGGGTGTTTCATGCTTGAGGTTTTGAGGTTTTCGAAGGTTTATCGGAGCGGTGGTTTTATGGATGATTATGCGTGGACTGATCCCATATTTAGTCACCACGGGATGACGAATATTATGCTGCATATAAAGATGGACATGCTGAGGATCGAGAACCAGTTGCCGCTGCTTGTTCTGAAGAGGTTGGTTGCTGCGGAGGCTGGCCGAGCTCCGGTAAGAGCTTCTCCAACCGGGCTGCCCGGTTAGGTTCCAGCTGAGCTCCAAATTTTAGAGCCCGGCTGCAAGAGCCCGGCTGCAAAATCCCCCTACCAGCTGCATATTTGGAGTTTTTCCTCCAAAATCCCCCCACCAGCTGCATATTTGAATTTTGGATTCCGAATGCCTATTTTATATTAATACATTTAATAATATTATTAATAATATTGTTTATATTATATAACTTTTATTATTTTTATATATTTAATTATTAGTTTATAATTTTTATTTATTTTTAAAATAAGTATAAAAGAATTGTTAAATTGAGAGAAATTGAAATGGAGTTGGAAATGGAGGAGTATGCTTGGAGTTGCAAAGCTCTATTTTGACATATTCCTTAGAATATGCTTCAGTGGAGATTGCAAAATGCAGCCAATGGTTGAAAAAATAATAAATAAAACTGGGTCCCTCTATATTTAAGACCCGTTGTACTAACTAAAATTAAGGCCGGGATTATTAAAAAAATAATAAATAAATTAATGAAAAGAGGCTGAGACCATTTTTTGTCCACGTGTACTTTTTTCTAGGATGATGATGAAGATGATGATGAGATCAACCGGCTGGTCCTCGATTTCATGGGTTCACGACCGGTGCCCTCTCAAGTCGGGCTAGGCCTCCACACCCTGGACCTGTTTCGCAGAAGCTGTGTCCGATTCCCAGCTGGGGAAGCCGTCTCCAACGCGCGCTAGTGGCCCCTGCGAAAGCCTTCCTCCGGAGCTGCTGTCAACGTGGAAGGCGCACGGGAGCCCCAGAAACAGATGAAGACCACCTCCCAACGCGTGAAGAAGTGATCAGCCCAGATCCATCGGGCATCTGCATGACAGGCGTAGCCCCCGGGCGCTTCGAAGCATACGAATCCCCTCCTAGCAGAGACCGGGTGCCCCTCGGAGCCTCTGGGCGCTCCGAGACGTACGTAGCCCCTAGCAGGAGAGAGGGCGCCGTCCCCTCCGCCGCGTGGCTCGTCGAGGCGGGCGTCCGCTTCGAGAAGAGCGGGACCGACAGCCGTCTCGACGTCCGTTTCGTGGACGGGTCCTGGCCCTGCCCGCCGTCACCGTCGACGACGCCACGGAATGCGAGCTCCTCAACCTCATGGCCTTCGAGCGCCTCCACGTGCTCGCCGGGAACGAGGTAACGTGCTACGTCGCCTTCATGGACGTCATGGTCGACTCCGCCAAGGACGTCGCGGTCCTGGCGTCCGAGGGGATCATACGTAACGCCGTCGGGACCGACGACGCGGTGGCGGAGCTGTTCAACAGCCTGGGCAGGTATGTGACGCTGGACTCCGGGAGCGGTCTCTATGACGTGCTTCGGAGTGTGAATGAGTACTACACGAGGGGTTGGAATAAGTGGCGGGCTAAAATGATTCACTTTTATTTTAAAAGCCCGC